CCTACTTGGAAACTTCACTGTTCCCACTCGCCATGAACACAGCATTAGCTTGTGGCTAGCACATTAGATCACAGCACCATACAGCACAGCTTTGCTTTGGTGTTTCTGTCTAATATCCTACTTTTATAATGTTGAATGTTCTAATAAACTGAAAAAGGAAACAAATGTATCGAAAAATGTATTGAACCGAGACATCACAGCACCATAAGGAACCAAATTATGAATTTTGTGACTCATAACATATAATGTAACGAGGTATTCTACGTTTCTATTGGTTCACTCACCACGAAATGTTCACACAATATAAAAGACATCAACAATAATCTAAAAAAACTGAACAAAAAAAGGATTTACGGGACTCTGATAAACTACATGATCAAAATTTTCTCTCTCACTTTCAGGTTATTTGCAACAAAGCTTAGCCTTACAGTTTAAGATTAAGTGACCCTTATTAGTCCCACAACGGGGAAATTTCACCTCCGCATTTGACTCATCCATGCAGTGAAACACCACATACACACTAATGAATGTACCCACACACTAGGGGGCAGTGAGCACACTTGCCCGGAGTGGAGGGCAGCCCTATCCAAGGCACCCGGGGAGCAGTTGGGGGTTAGGTGTCTTGCTCAAGGGCACTTCAGTCATGTACTGTCGGCTCAGGGGATCGAACCGGTGACCTTCTGGTCATAAGGCTGGTTCCCTAACATCCAGCACATGACAGCCTCTCAATATTTATCATACACTATTAAAAATAAAGATGAAAAAAGGGGGTCTTTGTTTGAAGCCACAGAGGAAGAACTTTTGGTTCCCTAAAGAACTTTTAAATGGGTAGTTCTTTAAAGAACCAAAATTTTTAATAAAATGTGTGACCTTATAAAGGTTAAAAGGACCTCCATGTTATTTAAAGGTTCTAGGAAGAACCTGTCAGTTGGTGTAGAACCTTTATATTATAAAATTCTTCACACTCACACATCTTTTCAAAATACGGTTATTTAGGGAACGAAAAGTGGTTCTTCTCCCATTTGTGGCATTTTTTTGTGTGTCTCAGGAACCACGTGTAGAGCAGAAGGATGGATAGCAGGACAGTTTCCTCTGAAATCCAGAACTTCCTCCAGACAGAGGGCCAGATGAGAGGGCAGGAGAACAATCCTCTGTCCAACTGTGCTTTCAGCTACAGGAAGGAAACGCAGTGACAACACTGCACTGAAATCATTCACACTTTGATGCCTCAACCACTGCAGTTCAGAGGGAAGTGGAACCATCTCAGCGCTGATGTGCTGCATTCTTAAACGCTGATGTGCTGAAAGTTACGCTGCACATCAAAAGTTTGGAGAGACTTTGGTTTCTTTTCTCAGTAATGTTAATTTTTGCTTTTACTTTTCCGTCAAGCTACATCTGCAATAATCTCAATACTGTTATAAGCCTAATATCAAGGGTTGTTCTGGAGCAAAAGTTTTGGCACCCCTGGCAAAATGACATAATTTTGTTGATTTTTTAAGTAAAGACACGTAAACACCACCTCTGCAGCAAACATCATTTTTTCTGCAAGTGTTCATGCACAGTTAGTTTATATTCTACATTAGCTTAACTCTCAGATTCTTAGCCAGCTTGGTTGTTGAGTGCTAGCACAAGTTTGAGGAGTCAGAGAATTTATTGCACCCTGGAACTGTCAAATTCCTGACCTGCCAAACAACCCTAAAGCCGGGGTTACACTACATGACTTTTACCCCGAATTTAAACCAGATTTCCAGTCTGGCCAAGTCTGTCTAGTTGGTTCTAGTCTGCAGATTTTTGGGTCAGTGGGAGTCGACAGTTGGAGAGAGTCGAGTCGTGTATGAGGGGCAGACTCAGATTTTTGGCCTCCCAATGGTGTTTCAAACCAGTCGGAGTTTATCAAACGTTTGATTTTTTCGACCCGACTCGAGCGAAATCTAGTGTAAACTGATCAACGACTCAATCTGAACAGACTCCTCCAACAGCCAATGAAAACTGAGAGCGCTAAAGAAGAAAATACAGAAAGTAAACAAAGAAAAATGTCAAAAACTCACTCAGGTGTGGAGCGAAGTTTTTAATGAGCTGAGTTTAAGGCCGAATCGAGTTTATGTACATTTAAAACTCATGATACCACACTGATCACTGTTTTAAATCCATGAGCCTCACTTAACCATGTTTACCTGCTTCCTTACTGTGTCAGTGCAAACGGCAGAGAAAACAGCAACATCATGAATATGCCTTCAAGTTAGGGCTCTACAATAAATCATTTTTTTATATGAGTTTCACAATAAACCCATCGTTAGAGCTGCAATGACAGATCAAATTACCTCATACACACAGCGCCAGAGAGACATCATTACATAACCAGCACAAACCATTAGAGGTTTAATGAGTGTTTCTCTGCACTGGCATTCCCACATAGGGGGAAAAGTAACTTAACCGTTAGGCTATAGAGCCGAGAACAAAACCCTTCACAATCTGGAAAAATGCATGAAACATTAGGATTGTTCTCACTTATTGTTTTAAATGTGTGAGGCAGTAATTTCTACTGTCACAACAATCAAAAATACATAAATAAATAAATGAACAAAAAAATATTTTTTTCTTGTTTATTTGTTCTTGTTTACCTATATAACAAACAAATAAACATATATGGTTATGACGGCAGCCATAACTGCGGCCAAGAAATCGATTATGAAAGGTTAGTTTTAAAACCTTTCTTTACTTCAGTTATGGTGTGGATTTTTCTGGACATTCTTATTTTGGAGCGAGTGACAGTCAAGGCAGCAATGATTCGCTTTTGGACTGATGCCATTAACTATGTTAAGACTCTGTAATCATCGACATCCTGCTTATGATGAATACTTTCTATTTATTCATTGTCTATTTTTTCTTTTTTTACTTATTTATTTATGTATATACATTTTCATTTTTACAAGCTCCCCTCAGGTTCTTTTCCTTTTGTGTCATGGCTATGAAGAGGGTGTTGATTGTGTGCTAACGGCTGAAAATCAATAAAAAAGTTATTAACAAACAAAAAACAAATAAACATATATTTACCTGTTTCTCAGCTATTCAGTGCACAAAAACTGTGCTAGTAGATGGGTCTATTTCACAGTGTGAAGGATTCAAATAGTGGGTAGTAACTAGTTACATTTACTCAAGTACATGTACTGAAGTAATATACTGATACTGGTACTGGTACTGGTACTCAGCTGAGTATTTTCACATTTTAATACTTTTACTTCTACTCAAGTACTTCAGTGAGTAAAGGAATCTACTTTTACTCAGTTACATTTTAGCCACTCATATTTAGTTACCAATTCCCTTTTTGCGTTTACTTTCATTCTGCTTTGTTGTTGACAACATCTGTGCCGCTTTGTTATTGGTCAAAGCTCTGACTTTGGAGCTTTAGCAGTTTATTTTAGACCAAAATAATCCAAAAAAGAGAAAAATAGAGCCATACAAGCTTCAGTTCCTGTGCTGATAGATGCATGGAGAATGCATCGTCAGATTCATGGAGAATGTGCATGAATGTGCTGTAGACAGTTCTATATAGCACCCAACAGGGTTCTCCTACTGTTACAAAGTCAAGCTTGTAACAATAGAAGAACGCCTTTGGGTGCTTTATAGAACGCTTTTCAAAAAGGTTCTATATAGAACTGTCTATAACACATTCTCCATCAGTCTGAAGAGTCCTTTCATGATGTAAGGAACCATTTAATCATGCAAAGGGTTCTTTCAGTGTTGATGGTTCTATATAGAACTGTTCCCTTTACCAAAGAACCCTATGAAGAACCCTATTTTTTAAGAGTATACAGTGTAGATTTATTATTTAATGATAATATTTATTTATATAGCACCTTTCATACATTGAAATGCAGCTCAAAGTACATGTACTTAAGTAAAATACTGATGGATTTGTCCTGCTGAGTATTTCAGATTGTAAGACTTCTACTACTACTGAAGCACTTTAGTGAGTAAAGGAATCTACTTATTACTCAGTTATATTTTATCCATTCATATTTGGTTACCAATTCCTTTTTTGTGTGTTGTTGTTGACAATACCTCTGCTGCTTTTTTGATTGGTCAAAGCTCTGACTTTGGAGCTTTAGCATTTTATTTTAGACCAAAACAATCCAAAAAAAGAGAAAAATAAGCCATAAAAGCTCCAGTAAAGCTGTGCCGATAGATGTCGGGTGTACTTAGAAGTTCCACCGCAGCTGTATATGTTACTCAACACTTAAGTAGTTTTTTTGACCTGATACTTTTGTACTTTTACTCAAGTCACTTTATCTGAATGTACTTTTACTTTTTACCCAAGTATCAATAGTTTTACTCGTGTGTTGATTTAGGCCACCCACTCTACCCACCTCTGGGTCTAACAGGTGCTCTGATTCCAGATGCATTTGATGGTTTCCTACTGTGATTTAAAGGCGTCCTACAACCATGAATTGGTTGTATTGTATTGTGTAACCATTAAGCCAATTCCTATTTGAAAGCAAAACCATCAGGTTTTAATCCTAATGCTTCTAATGGGTTTTGTTCAGCAGGGATGTGAAATGAAATGAGGGAAAAGAGTCATTTAAAGTTAATATAGTCCATGTTCCAGCTGCCAAACCTCCATTCTAGCTGCCAGTTACTTGTATTATGAGTCAGTCTAAAAGACATACGAAGCTTCTTATTCGAATTTACCGGTCCACCTTAAAAGGCGCAGCAGCTACATACTGGTAGGCGCCAGACTCTATCTACAGGCACCATTTAAGGTGGAACGGAAAGTTCGAATAAGAAGCTGGCGAATAAGGAGGCAGTTTCAGCCTCAGTGATTAAAACCTAGAGCTATGATGATGAACAACATTTCAGAACGAGTACAGACAGTTTAAAGCAGAAGAGCCGAGCAGATGTTTAGAGTTCTCAGACTTTCAGAACAGGAACGCTTCCAGCTTCAGCTGCGCTCCGTTCCTCCACACAGACGCCTCACACAGTCAGACAGCCGTTAACTTTACCTCTGATGTAGTTGGCTTTGCTCTCGTCCAAAAGGCTGGAGGAAGACACTCCCATAGTGAGGAACGGGTTCTCTCAGGTCCGCGTGTGGTGACTGTCAAACGCCGAGTGGCGAAACGAGAGAGAAACGCAAACAAGCCAAACCTCTCCATCCCTCCATCTCCTCCGTCTCACCGCCCGAGCCTCCGCTCACCTCTCAGCCTGCAGCGCCGCCTGGGCCCCGGCCGGAGCACTGAGGGGGATTACCGCGCACTCCTAACGCGGGTTCTTTAGGAAAGGGAATGGTTCTGTTTAGAACCGTGGGTTCTGTATACACTCTTAAAAAGATGGTTCATCAAGGGTTCTTTAGTTAAGGGAATGGTTCTATTAAGAACTGTGAGTTCTATATACACTCTTAAAATGACGGTCCTTCGGGGGTTCTTTAGTTAAGGGAATGGTTCTATTTAGAACGGTGAGTTCTATATACACTCTTAAAGAGATGGTTCTTCAAGGTTTCTTTAGTTAAGGGAATGGTTCTATTGAGAACCGTGAGTTCTATATACACTCTTAAAATGACGGTCCTTCGGGGGTTCTTTAGTTAAGGGAATGGTTCTGTTTAGAACCGTGAGTTCTATATATGCTCTTAAAATGACGGTCCTTCAAGGTTTCTTTAGTTAAGGGAATGGTTCTATTAAGAACTGTGAGTTCTATATACACTCTTAAAATGACGGTCCTTCGGGGGTTCTTTAGTTAAGGGAATGGTTCTATTTAGAACCGTGAGTTCTATATATGCTCTTAAAATGACGGTCCTTCGAGGGTTCTTTAGTAAAGAGAATGGTTCTATTAAGAACTGTGAGTTCTATATACACTCTTAAAAAGATGGCTCTTTGAGGATTCTTTAGTAAAGGGAATGGTTCTATTTAGAACCGTGAGTTCTATATACGCTCTTAAAGAGATGGTTCTTCAGTTGTTCTTTAGTTAAGGGAATAGTTCTATTTAGAACCACAAGCTCTATGAACACTCTTAACAAGATGGTTTGTTGAGGGTTCTTTAGGAATGAGAATGGTTCTATTAAGAACCATGAGTTCTATATACAATCTTAAAAAGATGATTCCTCAAGTGTTCTTTGGTTAAGGAAATGGTTCTATTTAGAACCATGAGTTCTATATACACTCTTTAAAAGATGGTTCTTCAAGGATTCTTTAGTTGAGGGAATGGTTCTATTTAGAACCATGAGTTCTATATACACTCTAAAAGGATGGTTCGTCAAGTGTTCTTTAGTTAAGGGAATGGTTCTATTTAGAGCCATGAGTTCTATATACACTCTTAAGAAAATAGTTCTTCATAGGGTTCTTTAGTAAAGGTAATGGCTCTATATAGAATCATGAACACTCAAAGAATGATTAAAAGGGTTCTTTACATCATGAAAGGGTTCTTCAGATTGATAGAAAATGTTCATGAATGTACTATAGACAGTTCTATATAGCCCCATAAGGGTTCTTCTATGGTTACAAGTTTCACATCGCAAAAATAGAAGAACCTTTTGGGTGCTATATAGAACCATTTTCAAAAAGGTTCTAAATAGAACCACCTGCAGCGCATTCTCCATCAGTCTGAAGAACACTTTCATGATGTAAAGAACCCTTTAATTATGCAAAGTGTCCTCTGAGTGTTCATGGTTCTATAAAGAAACATTTTCTTTACTAAAGAACCCTGAAGAAGCATTTTTAAGAGTGTAGAACCATTGAATGCTTAAATGGTTCTTTGCATAGTGAAATGGTTCCTCAGATTGTTTTATATATGGTTCTTTGTAGAACATTTTTGAAAAAACGTCCCACAAAACACCAAAAAGCGTTCTGCTATTGTATACAAGCTTGACACTGTAACAGTAGCAGAACTCTTTTTGGTGATACACAGAACCATTTTCAAAAAGGTCCCATAGGGAACCACAACACATTCTCCATCAATCTGAAGAACCATTTCAGCTTGCAAAGAACCAATTAAGCATGAATGGCTCTACATAGATCTCAGGGTTGTATAGAGAACCATTTTGTTTACTAGAGAACCTTTGAAGAACCATTTTTTTGAGAGTGTGTGCACGCATTGCCCATTGTACATCCATAGATTACCAATGAATAGATAAGAGTTGATTTGGGAGTGTAGGATGGGCTGCAAACAGCTTTCATATCAAGACAAATAATACAGTATAAACTATAGAAAAGCCAAAGTTTACAATTTAAATGCATACAAATCTGAAACGTCCTTTTTTCTGACTGTTAAAAAATAAATAAATAAAGCATTATCATATCAGGCTACACATATTGTATCAAATACTGTATGCATTTGATAAATTGTGTACCAATACACATTATATGCGAAGCAAATTCGTGTCCAGATGCCCTACATTCACTTATGAGCTTAACCTCTTCAACATCTTGAGACCACCGGTGGTTCCAAAACGCACTTCGTCATATTCTTCATGACTGTCATATTTCATAAGCTACATTCAAAAGGTGGGGGTGGTATGAGAGCTGTAACTGTCTTCTCTCCAGTCAAATAGGTGGGTGATGTAATTTTAAACCCTTATAATAAAAGAAGCTGAACTCACATTTTTTTTCCTACTGAAAGTCGACCCATTTTTCCACAAATCTGAGCTATAAACTATAAACAGATGGCGTCTCTTCAGTGATCTGCTCTGCAATATGTGTGATCATAAAACACATGTTCTGTTAATTGAGGGGAGCTTTTACAAAAAATAAATACATAAATATATAAATAAATAAAACATTTACATTTATTTCATGCAGTTCCTGAATAATTTGCCTTATGATTTGGTCATTTAAATTCAGATGGAAAAACCAAAATATACCCTGAAAAATAAGAGGTTAAAAAATAGTTTTTAGTGATTATTTTTATTATTTTGATTTCATTATTATTTTTTCTCGCTCTTATACGTGTGCTGTTGTGTTTGACTACATTTCCCATGGTACACTTCGGGCGTAATATGCCGCCATATCGAGCTGCCCAGAACTGGAAGCGTTCACAACACAGAAAGGTAAGAGTGGAGATAAACACCGAACGTTTATGGCCTTTTTCGTGCAATTCCCGTGGGTTGAAAGCTTTTACTGTATTCGGTTAGTCATACTGATACTGTACTGAACCGATATTCACCGCAAGGTCGATGTTATTTGGCTCAAAAAGCCCGTTATCTTTATTAGTCAGCGGGTTAGCCGTTCCGTGGTTGTGCTAGCTTAGTTTGGCTGGCTCCGATTTTTTTTCTGGACAGACAAAACTGCTGCACTCGGGTTCATTTCGCCTTGTTTTATTATTTTTTGGGGTGTTTACGGATTGTTTTGTTCAATTCGGTCATTTGTCAGCAGGTTTGTTCGTTTGGTTTGGTGTAGCGCGTCTTCGGAAACACAAAGACTCAACGAATCTTCTTATTCGCCAGCGTCTTGTTCGAATTATCCCGTTCCACCTTAAATGCCTCAAATGCTGCTGCAGCTACATGCGCCAGAGCGCAGCTGCAGCACCATTTAAGGTGGAACGGGGAAATTCGAATAGGAAGCCAACTTCAATATAGTAATTCTCTGGTTAATATTAGCAGGGTGGCCTGTCTGACTGTGTGCAGGCTCTGCCAGCTGCTTTTCTGTCATTGTGAGTGAGGCTTTTAGTTAGTTAACCACCAGTCAACTCACCCCCAAGGCCTCATATCAATGGGGACTTTCTAGAACAGTGTTTCACAATCCTGCACCTGAATTAAAACTACTGCACGTATTAGTGTTTTTTTGGCTCTGTCACACCTGACCAACTCATCAGCTCATCCCCAAACCTTTCATGAGGTTGAAATGAATGTATTAGAGCTGGGAAACATTAGACTTTAATCCAGAAGCCACCTGGAATTTCAAACATCTGTCATCAACACATCTGTCATCAAAATTGGTGATCACTTACATGCCCTTACTCCTTTTTATCATTATGAATTTGAGGGTTTGCTTGAAAAATCATACTAATTTGAGCCTTTTTGTTACTTTATTCTTTATTTTTTTAGGTATTTAGTATGCCTGAGTAATATCCAGTTTATGCCTTATGGCTGTATGTTTGTTTTGATGATGAATCACGCCATCTAGAAAAACTGTGCTCTAAATCAATATCTGTATTCCTTCTGGCTGCTGTTTCAGAGAGGCAAACCTTCTCTTTATTAGTGGACAAAGATGACTCAGACAGTTCAGACAAATGGGGTCCAACCCCTCAGCAAGACCTGGGAGCTGAGTCTCTACGAGCTACAGAGAACTCCACAGGTAAGAAAGCACGGCGCAGATAAACTCTGGGACAGATATTAAGGTCAGTCTGAGTGTGCCACGTAGTAATTCATAGTAGTAGTGTTAGAGAAGCGCTTCTCGTTTTACAGGTTTGAAATGTTATTTAATATGTATTTATCAAACAAGGTTATCATGTAATTGCATGATATAAATTAAAATTGTTCTACAGGGGAATTAAAATGCGTCATCATGTTTCAATCTGAAGATAAGATTGCCAAAATAAAATTCTCAGGCTATTTTTACCCCCTTTGTTTATTGTTTTGTTGTTAATATTCCAACGTTGTGTCTGGTCATATTCATGTTTTTATTTATTTATTTTAATAATTCTTTTTTGTACCAAAATAATCAAATCAAATGCCTAAGGCAGGGTCACTCACGCAATGCAGGGATATTGTTTAAGTAACTTTATCTGCTGTTGACCTAGCAGAGGCATAGCAACATGGATGATATATATATATCTCGCTGCTGTCAGAGCAAAACCTCGTATCTCAAAAACAAAGCTGCTTTACTGTTAATGTACGTCAGTGGAACCAGGCTTTTTTCCAAGCATTCATTAGTTTCTTTTGGTCCGCTCTTCGTGAAATCCACACACAACGTAGAGAGCAACAGGCATTTTCAAATTTTGTCAAAAACTGAAAAACGACAAAAATGGAGTTGAGGTTTTGTTCCAACAGCATATGTACTTTATATAGTTATTAAAACTTATTTGTCGTTGGTTTTAACCTTAATTGCCCCTATTTTTTTTCAAAGTATAAATTTAAGATAGTATATATTATACTTTACTATACTTTACTAGATAGTTATGTTATATGTTATATATGGGGGAGTCGTGTTCTGGAGGTGAGGGAACCAGCCAACAGTACATAACTGAGGTGCCTTTGATCAAGGGACACCTCAGTCACCCCTAACTGATCCCCGGGCGCTGTGGATAGGGCTGCTCACCGCTCCGGGCCAGTGTGCTCATTGCCCCCTAGTGTGTGTCTTCACTAGTGTGTGTATGTGGTGTTTCACTGCACAGATGGGTTAAATGCGGAGGTGAAATTTCCCCATTGTGGGACTAATAAGGGTCACTTAAACTGATTAAACTTTCCAGTCAGTCCATATTTATAAACTATGCAGCCTGTTTTGAAGTTGTTGTATTTGTAATGTCACGAAAACTAGCACATTTACATGTATTCGCTTATTTAACATACAGCAGTTATGAACTTCAAAGGAGTGTTTCAGCCTGGACTTCTTTTTCAAATGAGGTAAAATACAGGGCAGCCAATTAGAACAGAGCTTTAGTCTTAAAGAGACACAGTAACTGTGTAAATAAAAGGAAGAGTCTGTTTAATTCTGAGAGGCAAAGCACAGTTTGAAAACATAATTTAAAAATGAATATTTGCATTGATATTTGTATCGGTATGTGTTTTTGCTACATAAACAGAGCAAGTATCATAAGATCATCAGTTTATTTACTAAAATAAACTGAAAAATGCAGGATATGGACTCTTTAGGCTGAGGATGCCTGCAGACACCTTGCTTATACTTTTTCAATCACTTCTGTTGCTGCATGTATGTTGTTCCATCAGGAGGCCATCACAGACGGTCTGGAGATAGCCGTGTCCCCTCGTAGCTTACACAGCGAGCTGATGTGTCCCATCTGCCTGGACATGCTGAAGAATACCATGACCACTAAGGAGTGCCTGCACCGCTTCTGCGCAGACTGCATCATCACAGCCCTCAGATCAGGGTGAGTTCTGTTTTCAGTGTCTCCAGCAGACCAGAAGACATTATTACAGCACTCTGTGCATTTGAGCTGCAACTTCACATGCTGTAGAGGCAGAAATGAAGAAAGAAGCACCTCATAGAAATGTAATGGAAAGTACTAGTGGTATGCTGGTTCAGATTGTTCTTCAGGTATGAGTTTGTCTTAAGTGTTGTACTGGTTTGCCACAAATATGCATAGATAATGAGACGTATGCACGGTGCAAAACATGCTAATGTCATCCTGTTTGGCTGAATGGTTGAGTCAGGGCTGTTTCAGCCGCTGTTCAAATGAAATTGAAAACACAGCAGACGTTAGATTCCCTGACGCTGTCTAGTTCATTACATCTGAATGAGCCCACTTTGTTTTCAAGACAGGAGACTAAAGAACGGCCAGTCTTTTGGGGTTAACCTTAGCTTAACTGGACTGATTATACCCTCTAAGAAGGCACCTGGCTCAGTCAGCTGTGTCAAACAAGGCTACAGTCTCAGAGCGTTGTGGGCAAAATAAGCCATAAGCCAGGTGGTACTAAGGCATTAAAGACTGGTATTTTCTCCAAACTCCAGCAGCATCTGATGATCAGAGGGGTGAATATGCGGGACAACAATGTAACTGCTGCTCCAATTAAGGTGAAATGGAAGGAAAAACAAAATAGCTGTCAACTTTAGAATATTTAATATACTAAAACCATCAGAAATTGTAAAAATATTGTGATATAAATATTTGAACCCCCTACCAAAAGAACGTATGTACATGCAGATCAGGCTTAAAAACAAAATACATGCGACAACAGAAAAAAGGAGGGGTGCTGATAAAGAAAGTGTAAGGAGACGTGAGTGACCGTTATTTGAGTCTTAATGATTTCCACAGAGCAAAGCACTCTCAGAATGAAAGTACTGTTACTGATATTGGTTTTACTAAGACAGATATGTGTCATTCCACTCAAATCTCAGTGTGAGAATACAGTCTCGAGCAGCTCTTCAGCTCATCGTCTCTCTCTCGCAGGAACAAGGAGTGTCCGACGTGCAGAAAGAAGCTGGTGTCGAAGCGTTCGCTCCGTCCCGATCCCAACTTCGACGCCCTGATCAGTAAAATATACCCCAGCAGAGACGAATACGAGGCCCACCAGGAGAGAGTGCTGGCCCGCATCAGCAAGCACAACAACCAGCAGGCCCTCAGCCACAGCATTGAAGAGGGCCTCAAGATCCAGGCCATGAACAGGTAAGGTTGGGTAGTAGTAATAATGTTAATATCAACACTAACACTAGTAATACATTCATTTAGTATCCTTCATGCATTAATATGCAGCTCAAAATGCTTTATAGTGAGGAAGGTATAAGACAGGGGTCTTTAATTAAAATTCAGGTCCAGTTAGAGAAAATATCCTCAAGCAAAGGTCCAGAACATCAAAATGTCTAAGTTGCATTATGATTCGGTGCCATATTCTGTTTACTGAAATAGCCTAGTAGGTATATCAACATCTTATGTAGTGAACAGCTGAATGTCAGATCAGATAAAGTACAATTCAGTCATATTTGAACAACATTTATTGTCAGAGCTTGCCATGTGAAATAACTTTCCTCTGACTCACTTTCTTCTCCGACTCCTGTTTCTCGCCTCGTGCCCTCCCCGTCACTCGCTCGAGTCTCGGTGCTCATCGTAATGCACAGATCTGATTGGCTGAGTAGCGTCACCTTCATATTTACAACGAATTTGATTGGTATGTGCGTCTCCCGGGCCGCTAAAGCTACTGTAAAGGTTAGAAAAGTTACACCGACTAAAATAGGACCACCCCCCCCCGAAATTAAAGAATTCTCCACAGTTTATCGTTCACAGGTTCAGGTCTGCACAGGACAGCGTCTGGGTTCGGACTCGGACTGCGGTCCACCTGTTAGTGACCTCTGTTATAAGAGAAGAGACAGAAAAAGGAAAAGATAAAAACATAAAAAAGGGAGAAAAAATAAAAATGACTGCTGTAAATAAATCTAAAAGTAATAATGTCACAGTATGTATAGAAAATAATAACGTCAAAATAGAGAGAAATATTTTTCCACTGTTTCTGGGTCTAGAAAATAGGTAACAGTATGTGTATTCGTCCCGAACCGTCACAGTATGGACTTTAAGGTTCATGCAGTCATATGGAGAGTACATGGCATGTGCGCCGAATGTGGACTGAATTTTCATCTTAGCTGTCCAGGTTCACCTTTACTGGTTTACCACTTGATGTGTGCTGATAGATTCGGCTTAAAGCCTGTGGCCTCCTTGCTTTTCTACGAAGCTGAAATAATTGACCCTGATCCTTGGTCGCTTTATTTCTCTGAGAATTTTTAGTTTTGGTAATTGTGGTGAAGAAATGTTGTGTCCATGCTCTCTGATTACTGTTTCTCCTCCTTCTCGCGGTGCTGCAGACTGCAG